TATCTATAATTAGCTTCTCTGCAACGGCAATCGAGACTCGTCCTAATCTTTGCCCTATTTCTTCAGCCATTCTTCGCAATATATCTATGACGCCAATAAGCACACCCTAACCTCACTATAAGACTGACATCCGATCCCCGAAGAAGATCGCTCCCCACGGAGAAGGCACTCTCAAACGAGAGAAGAACACTCCCAGAAACGAGAGAAGACATTATACAATAGAGATTATACGCTTATTTGATATGAATATGATGTAATTTATTACATGTTATGTGCACTGTATGAGTTGTGTACTAATTTCAATAGGCATGTTTTATGTAATTTTGCATAAATTATCTTTCATATAACATTTGAAATAAATTAATATAGGGAGGATGAGAACATTACATATTGATTTCATATTTTAATTAATTTATTATTATTATTATTATTATTATTATTATTATTTAATAAGCATTTTTTATAAGTATCAATGAATATCTCTTACCCGTGCATCGCATGAAATTCGTACTAGTTTATGTTTAATGTAGTTATATGTTATAAGTTTGAAAATTTTTTATAATATAACACATGTAAGTCACACAAGTAACAAGTGTCATACTAAAATATATAATAATATATATTTTTTATAAAGAGTATTTAAATTTTCAACTATTTTTTCTCATTAATTTTAAATTTTAAGAAATAATTTTAGCAAGCACCCGTGTCATACACAGTATTGTACTAGTTTATATTACCCGAAAAAAATAAATATGATGGTATTCAGTTTCCCACACTTTTATTTTCCAACATCTCAACATAATCCTGATTCTAAACATTAGGAGAATAATTTGGAATTTTCATTGACATTTTCAAATTTTAAAAACTTGAGACTTTTTAAAATTTTGATTTTAAAAGAATGATATGAATTTTATAAGTCTAGAGATGAGATTTGGAGAAAAATTTCGTATAGCAAATCTTGAAAACTTAACAAATTCTAATATCAAATAAGTTAAATACCTCATAGTTTTGTAAACCTTTAAAATCTCAAACGATCATGAGACTTTTAAAAGTTACAGAAAATCTAAATTATATACACGAATTGCTAAAAATTTAAAAAATCTTAAGGGGATGCTTGGATATATATATATATATATATATATTTTTTTTTTTTGTTGGATTTTTTGGTTTGATTTGGTTAATTTTTAAAAAGTGATATGATTAATTATTAGTGGATATATTAAAATAATATTTTAAATAAAATAACTAAAGTTGATTTGCTATAAAAGTAGGAGAGAATGAATTGAAGTGATTGTTAGTGACAATAATGAAAATAAGGTTGATGTGACGTCTAAGAATAATTGATTTATATTATTTAATTATATTGATAATATTGATGATAATGTGATTGAGTTAAAGTTAAGTTAAAAAAATAGATGAATTAAAAATGTTGAGATTTTTTTGGAAATATTTGTATCCAAGCATCCTCTTAGAAATTTTAGATGAATACACCCCTTAATAAATTTGAGGTGTTGAGCATTAGAAGTCATCAAATGTAACGAAAATTTAAACTTGAGTAATAGAACATCTATTGATTTTTTTTTTTT